GCAGTCCGCGCGGACACCTCCAGGGACCTTGGCCGTCTGACTGCCCAGCGTCTCGGATCCAGAAACTCCGCCCGCAGCCGCCGGCGATGGGCACCGCCCCAAACCAGGCGCCTCGCGTCACCTCCTCCCGCCCAGGGCCCCCGACTGACGCAGGAAGCGACCAATAAGAGCGCAGACCTGGAGGCTGCAGGCGAATCGCAGGGGAGACAGGGAGGGGCAGGAGGATGCTAAGGGCTCCGGAGACACCCGAGCGCCCCCTGGTGGCCAAGGAGCCGAAGCCGCTGCGGGGGTGCGGGGTGGGCAAAGGCGGCGCCCGGGTTCCCTCCCGGGTGACCCCCGGAGGTCGTCAGTGGGCAGCGGCCCTGCGTCGGCCGCCCGATAATCCGCATTGCGAGTGGACAAAAGGTTGGCTGAGTGGGGCGGGGCGGGGCGGGACTGGACGGACCGGACGCCGGCTGGGGAGCCGGGATTCCTAAGGGAGCGGCCGAGAGTGGAGTCATCGTGAGTCTGGAAAACATCTCTCAGGGAGCTGCGCGATCCGAGCCACGCACGCGGATGAGCGGAGCCCGCAGAGAGCTTCCTGGCCTATTCTTATCGATCCCGCGCGCAACACCTCCCACACGCCACCTTGGGAGAAAAGGCGGAATGAGTAATGGAAAAGCATGACTCCGCGAGCGCGTGCGGGCTGGGAGGAAAGGAACAAAACGCTTTGTGTCCCCAGGTGAAGGAATCGAGAGCCCCCACGCGCGAGGTGCCCTTGAGAGGGCTGCTAGAATCCAAAGCCCAAGAGCACGAGAGAATACTTTACCAGCCCCAGAGAAAAGCCCACTACTGTACTGGTCATGGGCAGTATACTCAGCGATAAGATAGGCAGCTGCCCCTCGCATGCCAAGCACCACTACTTTCTAAGGTTGTGAAATGTTTAGGGGTTTACTAGCAGAAATGGGAAGTAAAATCAGATTTCTTTTTTTGCCCCCTGAATTCAATACAATATTATTGGGCATAACGGGCTGGATTTAACAAGCATATCCACATTGAAATTAAATTTTCTACACTAATAGTTCTGGAAAATCAACTACCACTAAAGTCCTCTGACTTTTCAATCATTCAATATTTATTGGCCATTTCGCATTTTAGTAGGAATTTTCTACTCCACCAACCCACAAAAGGATTTGCATGGCTTACACCAAAGCAATCACTTCCTAAAACCAGGAATGAAATGTTCTTTTTTTTTTTAATTGGGGCTGTGCGTGGTGGTACACCCCTGTAACCATAGCACTCCGGAGACAGAGGCAGCCTGTACTCCACAGTGAGTTCAGGGCCAGCCTGAACCACAGAGTGAGACCCTGTTTCAAAAATACAACAATGACAAGCTGGGCATGGTGGCGCACTCCTGTAATCACATCAGTCAGGAGGCTGAAGCAGGAGGATCGCTGTGAGCTCAAGACCAGCCTGGGCTACACAGTGAGTTCCAGGTCAGTCTCAACTACATAGTGAAACCCTGTCTCAAAAACAAACAAACAAACAAACAAAAAAAACAATAGGCTGGTGATTTAGCTCAGTGGTGCTGCCACCTGCCTTGCAAGCACAAGGTCCTGAGTTCAATCCCCAATACCAAAAAAAAAAAAAAAAAAAAAAAAAAAAAAAAAAAAAAAAAAAAAAAAAAAAAAGACAAAAAATGGGCTGGAGGTGCAGTTCAGTGGAAGAGTGCTAACTTAGCAAGTGTCAGGTCTAGGTTTCATCCCCAGCTCTGCCAGAAAAAAAAAATAAGGATAGGAAAATGTTGATCAAGGGATACTGAGAGGTTCTGGGGTGCTACTGGGGTGGCTATTGACAGTAATGTACTGTACACTTCAAAAAGCTAGTGGAAAAGGTTTTGAAAGTACACCATTAAGAAATGATAAAGATATAGGTATCTTTAACCTGATTGAAACATTACAATGTATACATGTATCTAAACATAACATGGTACTCCACCCAAGTGTACAGGGTTTTGTTTTGTTTTGTTTTGTTTGTGGTACCGGGGATTGAACTCCAGTCCTTGCACTTGTGAGGCAGGCAGTGGAACCACTGAGCTAAATCCCTGGCCCCGCAATTGGTTTTTTGTTTGTTTGTTTTTTAATGGAAGTATGGATTTAACCCAGGGCCTTTGCACTGCTCACCAAATCATCAAATTGCCTAGATTGGGCTCAAACTTGCAATCTTCCTGCTTCAGCTGAGATGACAGCTGTGCACAACCATGCCCAGCCAGCTTTTACATTTTTATGTATCAGCTAATAATATTTTTAAAAAATAAGTAATAGGCAGGGCATGGTGGTGTATGCCTGTAATCCCAGCACTCAGGAGGCTGAGGCAAGAGGATCATCACGGGTTCAAGCCCACTTAATTTAATGTAACTATTTAATTTAGTTTTGCACTAGTGGGGATCAAACTCGGGCCCTTGCATGTGCCAGGCAAGTGCTCTACCACTGAATTGCATCCCTAGCCCTTATTTTATATGTTTGTTGAATGGTTGGTACTGAAAACTCATCCCAGGGCCTTTGCCTAGAGCTACATTCCCCAGCCCTCTTTTACTTCATATTTTGAGACAGATTCTCTGTAAATCATTAAACTGCCCAGGCAGGGCTCAAATTTGCAATCCCTCAGCCTCAGTTTCCCAGAGTATTAGGATTACAGGTGTGCACAACCATGCTTGCTTATTTGTTTATTCATTCATTTATTGGTACCAGGGATCGAACTCAGGACCTTGCGCTGTGAGTTAGGCAGCGGCGGCACCACTGAGCTAAGTTCCCAGCCCTCATTTTTAAATTTTTTTAATAGGGTCTTGCTGAGTTACCTGGGCTGGCCTCGAACTTGCCAGCCTCCTGCCTCAGCCTCCCAAGCAGCTGGGATTACAGACATGCACCAAGCCAGCTTGCAATCTGTAATATTTTATTTCTTGGAGTGGAGGGTAACATGAGATTGAAAATGGTAGGGTCGGGTGGTGTGTACGTGGCCGGGTAGCATTACATGGCCTGTATGCTTTACTGCCTGTTAACAAATATTCATGGCCGCAATGTGTAGCTCTTGCCTGGAATGTACCAGGCCCTGGGTTTGATGACTGGCACCACAGAAACAGTTCCTATCTTAACTAAATATGTCTGAAGGGACCTCAGCTGCAACACTGCCCGTTAATCCTCTGCAGACGCAAATAACAGCTGCTGTAAAGGGGACAGGGACAAGCCCAGCAGCTGGGCCAAGAAGCACGAAGCCGTGTGTGTGGAAGCTGCGATCCTCTCTGACCCACTCTAAAATATTCCCGCCTCCCAGCCGGCGCCCCTAAGGCCAAGGGACGGAAATCCCTTCCCAACTTGGAGTCCATGCTCAGAAATGCCACACGCTGACAATGGAGGGGACAAAACCCTACGGGATCTCGTTTTTATTTCTGGGAGAATGGAAGCTGCAGCCCCTTGCTGGGTTCTCCTGAGCCATAAAGAGAAATATTTTCCAATTCTTCTAACCAAGGTCAGGTAACACATATAGTGAAGTCTTTGGGTCATGTTGTGTGATTATAAATAGTTACCACTTGTATCTTTGGACCTAGGAGTCTAGAAGTCTCTCTACCCTGTTAAGCCTCAAAAATATCTGTCTTCCTATACAGTTTTTTAAAATATTAATATCTATTTTATAGACATGTCTTCAGATTATACTAAACAATGACAACAAGGAGCTTGGTTTTTTTTTGTGTGTGTGTGTCTGTGTGTGTGTGTGTGTGGTTTTTGAGACAGGGTCTCACTATGTAGTTGAGACTGACCTGGAACTCACTGTGTAGCCCAGGTTGGTCTTGAACTCACAGCGATCCTCCTGCCTCAGCCTCCTGAGTACTAGGATTACAGGCATGTGCCACCACGCCTGGCAACAAGGAGCTTGTAAAACATCAATTAATGCACTAATTTTTTTTTCCTTTTTTTTTTTTTTTTTGGTACCGGGGATGTCCTTGCGCTTGAGAGGCAGGTGGTGGAACCACTGAGCCAAATCCCCAGCCCTCTCAATAAGTATTTTAACAAAGAGGATGCAAGGTGATTTCACCTCATAGATATGAATATACATGCCAAAGTTATTTGGAGTCAGAGAGGAAACCTGAAGATATTTTAGAACTGGTTAGTTTACCCCATCAGGAAACAATAAACTTATGCCTCTAGTTTGACAAGGATTGATTTTATTTGGTGACTTCAACTACTCAGCATCTGGAAGGAAAGAAGAAAAAATCAGCTGAAATAGATGTTACAAATTTCACGTACCTTACATACCAGAAAGTCCTTCAAGCCTGCATTCAATATCTCTTCATTAATATTTCATCACTATGTGGTTTTTATTTTGTTTTGTTATTTTCAGCATTGGGGATCAAACCCAGAGCCTTGAGCATGCTAGACAAATGCTCTGCTACTGGGCCACATGACCAGCCACCCTCCCCACTCATTCTTTTATTGTTTTGGTTTTTTGGTACAAGGTCTCACTATATAGTCTAGGATGGCCTTGAACTCACCATGTAGCCCAGGCTGGCCTCAGACTCATGGTGATCCTCCTGCCTCAGCCTCCCAAGAGCCACCACACTTGCCTCACTAATTCTAACAAGCTCCACTGTCTGCCACCTTCGCCGGTGAGGTGTTAGGAGCAAAGTAGAAGGGAGGGAGTGCAATGGTAGCCAAAGCTGGGCTTTATTCCAGCAAAAGCTAAAATGTAAAAAGTATGGGGAAGACCTCAGAAAACAGCTGGCTGATGACATGTGGACCCAGATGACTTTGAGGTGTTTTCAAAACTCAAGTGAATAGAAAACATGAATGTCTGAGGCTAACTAAAACAGCTGAAACCATGCAATAGGGTAGGAACATAACCCTAGAAGGTAATTTTTTAAATACTTTGAGTAAAGGTTGCTGGAGCCCAGCCTCCTCCCTGTCCGCTTTCTTCTCCATAGATTAGACTGTGTCTGTGACCCTGGACGGCACAGCCCTGGGAGACAGTTCGCTGTATCCGTCCCTGTTCCCGCCCTGCAGATAGCCCATGGCATGGCCTTCTCTGCCTGTTTGTCTTCCACTATGAATAAAGAGTGTGTGGGACTTCGGCCGGCCATTAGCACCTGACAAGCTATGTTCCACCTGGTCCAAGCTTTCAAGAACAGTCTCGGTTTCTTCATTTTTCTTCATCTCCCTGGCTTCAGACCCTACACGGTGCGAGTCGTGGCAAAAGGTGACTCTGTTGAGGAAATAAGTTTCTACACTTCTAGATGAGCCTGAAAGAGAAAGACCTGCCTAGACCCCTGCTTTCTTTTTCTCCCTCCCCGCCTTTTTTTTTTGGTGTCGTTCTTTACAGTTCTAGGGCTCAAACCCAGGGCCTTTGCACTAAGCTATATTCCCAAGACCCACTCCCCTTTAAGAATTTTGAGACAGGGTCTTGCTAAGTCCAAGTCACTAAATTGCTCAGGATAGGCTTAAACTTGTAGTCCTTCTGCCTCAGCCTCCCAGAGTACTGTGGTTACAGGCATGGGCCACCATGTCTGGTTTAGACCACATTTTTTTTTTGAAACAGGGTCTCCATATGTAGTCCAGGCTGGACTTGAACCCATGATGTAGGCCAGGCTGGCCTCAAACTCAAGGTGATCCTCCTGCCTCAGCCTCCTGAGTATTAGGATCACAGGTATGCACCACCACACCTGGCTAGAGCACATTTTCTAAAGGCCCTCAAGGCAATAGCCAAATAAATCAAGTGATGTCATTTTCCCCCTTTTCCTCCAATGCTCAATTATGTCAAAATGAGTATCAGTGTAGCTAGGAATGCATAAATCACACTACAGGTTAGTGTGACTCCAGGGATCACCAGGGCTTCAAGGGCCACAAAGGAAATACCAAACAATCAGACCAAGACAGAAACACTCACATTGCTGTAAAGAGTAAAAGAATGGGTAGGATTTGTTTTGTTTTTGAGACAGGATCTCACTATGTAGTTGAGACTGACCTGGAATTCACTATGTAGCCCAGGCTGGCCTCGAACTCACAGCGATACTCCTGCCTCAGCCTCCCTGCGCATCACACCCGGCTAAGGAGGGGTAGCAGCTCAATGTGGTATGTTTGCTTAATTTCAGTGGTTTCTTCCAGACATTGTTTCAATCGGCTGGTGAGTCTTGGCCCCCATGGCCAGCCCAAAATCAGCTGGGCATTTGTCATTACAGCCAGGTAAAAACACTCCGCAGAGAGCCCTCTCCCAAAGCTCAGTGGGTGCTTTATTTTCTGCAATGGGCATTTTTACCAGTGAGGAACAACCTTGTGACAATTAGCTCCAGTCTGAAAGCCATGATTCAAGAAACCACACTGCTATTTCCTGGAACTGTGGAGCCATGACAGATGGCCCAGTGCACACTGGCAGAGCAACGAAGAGGCCATGCCAGGAGGGCCATGCTGGGACACAGCACCAAGAACGCACCGACAGGGCCCAGCAGTCCTGAGTGGCTGGTGAGCTCCGACCTCCCCGAGGTCCCCTGTGAGGAAGACATCATTGGTCACTCCAATGCTGCCACTCTCAAATGGGGCCTCCTCACCCACTCTGCGTGGAGCACAGCCCCAGTGATGAGTGTAGAATCCATGCTGAGTTGGCTGTGGTAGCACATGCCTGTAATTCCCATGCTTGGGAGGCTGAGGCAGGGGGATTGCATGAGTTTGAGCAGC